TAATTCTTTGAAATGAAAATACCAGAATGAATAGAACGTACTTTTAGCGTCGCTTGACATCATCATCCCGATCACGCCTTGTTGCTCTCGCTCTCGCTCTCGTTCTCGTCGAAGCTCTCGTCGGCCGCCTTCTCTTCTTCCTTCTCCACTTCTTCTTTCTCCACTGCCTTGCTCACCCCCTTTCCGGAGCACATCGCCAGATTGGTACAAGTCTCCGCGTCGGGGCTCACTCCGGCCTCCACCATGATATCAAACACCTTCCTTGCATCCTCCACCCTCTGTGCCTCGCAAAGCTTCGCCACCAGCACCTTAAACTCCAAGTTATACTTGATTTGGTGCTTCCTCATGAGCTCCGCCACCTCCACCGCTCGGTCCAGCTCCCCAGCCTCGCACAGCAAGCTCACGATCTTCAAGTCGGTCGGCTCCGTCGCCCGGATCAGCTGCTCGAAGATTCTCATCGCGTCGTCGTACCGCTTGTTCTCCACTAGCTTGTGGACGAAAGTCTTGAGCGGGGCACAGCGAGTCTTCACGTCCAGCACCGAGAACATCTTGTCCGCGACTTTGAGAGCGTCGTCCAGGCGGTCCCTGGAGTGGAGAGCGTGAATGAGCACCTGGAACGTCCCTTCGTGATGCACAACTCCCTTGTCCAAGCTCTCCATGAGCTCCGCCACCGCTTCGTCCATCTTGTCCGCCCGGCACAGCCCGTTAATCAGCTGGTTGTATCCTCCGGCGTCGAGCAGCCACCCTCGAGCGGTGTGCTCGCGCTGGAGCTCCAGCATCCCGTCCACTCCATCTCGGTCCCAGCGCATGAGGAGCAGCCGGTTGAGAGCCGAGCCGTGTGGAGTGAATCCACGCTCGGTCATCTCGGCCAGGACCTCGTCAGCTTTCTCGTTGTTCTTGGAGTTGATGTAGCCGATGTAAGTCGCCGAGTAGGCCATCCTCTGGACCTCAGGGAGGTCACTGAGCTCGTTGGCAATGAACGCTCGAGCTTCCTCCAGCTTCTCGCCGTTCCGAAGAACCGTGACGAACCGATGGACGGCCTTGCTCTCGGCGCAAAACTCCGGGCGGGTTGTGGCCCAGCGGAAGAGCGGCAGAGCAAACTCGGCGGAGGATCCAGCCATGGCGCGCTCCAGCGCCGCCACCGAGAAGGGCCCCTCGTACTCGGCCAGCTTCTTCTTGAGCACCTCCACGTCGCCACTGGATTTGGATATGATGCTCTTGAGCGTCTTGAGCGTCTTGAGCATCGGCGGGGAATCACCACTCTTCTTTGCTGGGGCAGCAGCGTCATCGCTCTTCACGGGCTCACTAGCCTTCTTCTTTTTCTCCCCCTCGATCTTCTTCTTCTCTTCATTCTTGCTTGGGCTCTTCGCCTCCTCGCTTTTGGGCGACTCCTCCTCGACCTTCTCGGCCTTCTTCCGCGGCGCCCTCTTCTTCTTGGGCTTGGCCTCCTCGATCGAAGCAGCAGCAGCAGCAGCGGCGGCAGATCCCTCTTCCTCGCTCACGCCCGCCGCCGCTTCCTCCACCGCTGCAGCATTCTGGGCTGCCGCTGCGTACCTAGCGCTCGCGCCGTAGCTCGAGATTCTCCGGATCACACCGCTGCTGAATGCGCACAATCCGCGCCTGGGAGCCAACATTGATCTTCCTCCTCCTCGTCGCGAAGAACCCTAAACCCTAAACCCCCGGATAGCGGCGCAAAGGCAAAAAGGAAACAAGATATTTTCTAGAGATCCCAACCGAATATTCGAATTTCAAATCAAAACTTTTAGCGCGCTCTTATTCTTCTCTCGTTTTCTCGTAACTCTCTTTGGTTCTCAAAAGAAATCAGCCGCTGCGTTTGCGTCCCTGCTGCTAGCTAGAAACCACCAACGAGCGAACAAAATCGATCGAATCGTGGGAGAGATGGATCTCGCCTACCAGCCGGAGCCACCATCGTTGGCGACTCCATAGCCTTCCGGGAATCGCCCGTGAGCTCCACCAGGAGGAGACCGGCTTCGTCCGCGGCTCCGACGAGCATTGGGACTCCGGCTCCGGCTCCTGCTGTAGCTCCGCTTCCCGGAAGAGATCCTCTCTCCATAGCCCCTCCTGTAAACGTCCCCGTTCTCGAAGCCGACAGCGCCGTTGCTGGCAACAGGAAACCTTGCAAGTGGCGCAGTAGCAGCAGCCGCGCCACCACCCCAAGAGCTTGCTCGTCTGTTACCATAGAAGCTGTTGGCCGGGGCTCCTCCGCCTCCTCGGCCACCGCCGGACTCCCAGCGGTTGTGGCGAGGCTTTCCAAAACCGCCTCGAAGTGCCATCTCTCTCAGCTCCGGTGGGACTTTCTGGTTCGCACCCTCGAGGACTTTGATCAAGTCCCTAGCGTACTTCCCGTCTTGCTCGGCAAAAAAAGTGTGAGCCAGGCCAGTGGCACCAGCTCGGCCGGTCCGACCAATGCGGTGGACGTAGTCCTCCACACCGGTGGGAAAGTCGTAGTTAATGACAACTCTGCAATACAAAGAACTCAAAAGTCAGCAGAGGGAAAGAAAGAAAAAGACAAGTGTCGTTTTGTTTCGCTTACCTGATATCTTTGATATCTAGCCCTCTTGCTGCGACATCGGTAGCGACAAGAACAGGCGATTTTCCAGCTTTGAACTGCGAAAGGACCCAGTCTCGTTCGCCTTGTGATTTGTCACCATGAATGGCCACAGCACCAAAATCTCTGCGCAGTGAGCGAGCTAGTTGATCACACATTCGCTTTGTTGAGCAGAATATGATAATCTTGGACCCAGGCTCTTGAGTCCGAAGAATCAGCTCCAGCTTTCGCGCTTTGTCTTGAGGCGAGACAACTTCTACGCACTGCACCGATTGTTAGCGCAAATACCAAAACAAAACAAAAGACAAAAATGGAGACCTGAGTGATAGCCTTGTTTGCAGCTAGATCGTCTGTATTTCCAATGTTCACCTGGATGGGATTCATAAGCAAGTCGCCAGCAATCTTTCTCACTTCTTTCGGCCACGTCGCTGTGTACATAAGCGTTTGTCTCTGAACAGGCACCTCATTCACGATTTTGCGAATCTGGGGTTCGAATCCCATGTCGAGCATGCGATCCGCTTCATCCAGGACCAGGTAGGAGACCTGCCTCAAACTGATCCTCCTCATTTCCAAAAAGTCGTTCAGCCTTCCTGGAGTAGCGATAACAATGTCGCATCCCCGTTCAATATCGCGTAGCTGGGGGCCTTTGGAAGCACCACCATAAACACACTGCAAACATAAAAGAAAGATCATAAACAAAACACATAACAACAATTCTTACCGTGCTCGTAATCCTGGAGGACCTCCCGAACTTGACAGCCTCCTCGTGTATTTGAGTAGCTAATTCTCGCGTTGGGGCCAGAACGAGTACTGTTGGGCCCGATCGTGGGTTGTTCCTTCGTCGCTCTAAGTGGATAAATGCTGGCAGCAAGTACCCCAGCGTTTTTCCAGACCCCGTCTTTGCAATAGCTACAATGTCACGGTCATTCAGAGCTATAGGCCAGGATTGGGCTTGTATAGGTGTAGGTGCCGTAAACCCGGCAAGTTGAACCTGTTAAAAAAACGAACAGTATAAGTACGTTTCCAAAAGCTTCTCAAACTTGCACTACTCCCAAGCAGAAAAACTAAAGAACAAGAAAAGTAAGGCAACATCTTAACTGATGCCGCATATTGTCACAGAATCCAGTACTTAAGTTTGCACCGGCGTGAGAGGAATGCAGTGTCAGCCTGGTTGGTCCCTTCTTCCGAAGGGTCATCCTCCAACCCCGGCAAAAGAACATTGGTACACATGAAGAGCAGCACAGCGTACGACATATGCTCCATTCTGGAGCAAATATCGCATCTGCGAAGGATAAGGGACATAGTAAGTTTTAGCCCTCTAAAAAGCAAAGTATGTATACACTAGATCCAGAAAAGAAGACAGCATGCATGCAAGGACCAAAACCAGCAGGACAAAACGTACCTCTCTTAAGACTTCATCCGGAAGACCTGCCGATTCGAAAGTTATGAACGGTGCTGGAACGTTGGTTCCCTGAAACAGAAAGGCCAAGGCGATGTTATGAGCTTGCAACACCAAAATATCAAGTATTAATGAAAGACATACCACGATGGTTATCTCGTGCTGTCTCCTGTAAGAATCGACGTCAAACGGTGATGCCGTCGTTTGAGTCCGAGGGCGCTTGTAGGCATCCCGATCATTGTAGTCAAAATTGTCAGCATTCCGCTTGTAGCCACCCAGCGCACCCGGCACCAAGGCAGCGTTTGAGCCTCCATTTACAACCTGACATGAAGAGAAAACAATGAAAAATCCGAGAGAAAGTTATCTACGAGCAAGTGCTACCTGTGACTGTCCTCCAAACATCGAAACCGCTGCTAGTTTTGGCTGCTCGGCAACCTTACTCCCGTACAGAGAACCATTGCTTCCATTGACGTGACCATTCGCCATCGAGCTCTCTTGAAAAGCCGAACCATTCACGGAAAATCCTGGAGCACCGCTGGAAGAGACTGGCTTCACATACGTCGTCTCGTTGGACTGCGTGTTCCAGTAGTAGAGATATCCAGTCTCTTCGTCCACCAGGGCCTTCCATGGAGGAGGGAGAGTTGGGTCTTCTGGGGCATAGTGAACACCAGGCGTCGATGCCACCGGAGCCACCATTCTGGAATCCAGGATCGCTCTTAGACCCTAGAATCGCTGCATGCAAGGGGGAAAGAACAAAATACCTCGCTGGAGCCCCAAGATCCGGTAAGAAATACCCCAATCGCGCGCCTCACCAGCAATCGATCGAGCAGAGCTACACCGCCAGCATGCTGTTGCAATGCAGCGCAATCAAGCTATCGAACAAGAGGAGACGAGATACGATACCCTGATCGTCGCCTGGGCGCGAGAGAGAGGAAAGAAACGAAGAGCCCTAACCCTAATTTTGCACTTGTGGTCGGTGGAGAAATAGACGCGTCGTGGGTTCGAGCCCCACCAGAGATTCCAGCGAATATTTAGGGTTTTAGGGCGGGAGGAGCGCGATGGCGCTCAAGCCGATCGGCAGCTGGTGCGCGCTTGGAAGCCGGCATTGCGGTCGAGGTATTGGAATTCCAGCCGATGCGATGGTTTCGATTCACTGATTTCTAGTTCTAGGAAAATGGAGGTCTCTCGGCACGGCGAGAGCGAGCTCTAGCGGCAAGCCCTCTCAGATACCCTCCCTGGTGCGTTACATCCCCAAGCTAGCTAGAAAATACGACGGGGAAATCCTCGAGAACGTTCACTTTCCCCGGACGATTTCTAGCGGTGAAGACGATGGTGAAGAAGAGGAATTTGGGAGTGGATTCTTTGACAGTGATTCACAGGCTGGGAAGAAGAAGAGGAAGGGTGCCCGGTTCTATTTTGATGACACGGAGAAGCAGCGTAGCGAGCTCGGGTTAGCATCCTTTAGAAGGAATGCTATAGACCTGGAAGAGTTTGAAGAAGGGAGTGAAAGAAACGATGCGGTGTCTAGCAACGAGATGATTTCTACAGAAGAATCTAGCAGCGAGGAAGAGACTTCCGGGCAACAAGAAAGACTTTCAAGCTTGCATCGAATTACTAAGGAGCAGCCACCAAGAACAAAGGAGGTGAAAACTTCGATAAGAAAAGAGGTTCTTTCAAGCTTGCAACTAGTTCCAGCATCACGGCTCGTTTCAAGGCCAAGACCGGGACCTTCCACTGCGGTTTTGGATTCTAAAGCCGCTACGAGTGACGACGACATTCCTTCACAGTGTCCAGCAATGCGTTTACTTCCAGCATCGCAGCTCAATTTAAATCCCAGAAGCATGGAAGATGATGAACCGGAGGAGTTTGACGATGAAGAAGAGGAGGATGCGTTGTTCGCCCTTGAAGTCCAGAAGCGAAAGACAGAGTTGCCAAGCTTTCCAGACAGCGGTGGAGAGAGAACGGCTGCGAAGAACTATGCCGTTTTTCTGCTGAGTAAATGGTATGCTCTCTCTTCTCCTTGTTTTTTCATTTCTCTTTCCATCGTAGCATCATTTTTTCGCATTCAGGCAAAGAACCGCTGCGGAGCTCCGGAAGAAACTGAGTGAGAAGAACTACTCTGTCCAAGTAACGGAGAGCACAATCGCTGCACTGCGAGAAGAGTAAGCTGGTTTTATCTCGGTGTCCATTTCGTTGCTCATGGACTCTTCTTTTAAGCAGAGGATTGCAGAGCGACACTTCTTTCGCAGAAGTTTTTGCACAGTCGAGGTGGAACACGAGAGGCTGGGGTCCAAAACGGATAAAACACGTAAGTATTTGTCATGTTTTCTTCTCAAGCTTTCCCTTGTCTGTCGCGGTCAGGAGCTCGTCCGCAAGGGTGTTGACACCGCCAACATCGATCGCGCGCTGCAAAAAGTGTTCAAAGCGGACGGGGATGGAAACATTGTACAGGACGACGATGACATGCAGTGGGGAATGTCAAAACAAGCCCAGGAGCACATCTTTGCTCTCTCTGCTCGGAAGTGGAGTAGCGGAGGCAATATCTCGGTGCAAGCTCGGAGTCGGAGGCTAGCAGGGTGGCTCCAGCGAAGAGGATTCAGCTGGAAAGTAATCAATGGGATCATCCACATATTGGAAGGAAATGGATCCTTTCAAAAAAGTTTGTAGTGATATTCAGAAGATTGTATGTATATGACTTAGATTTTTATTTTTCCATCACATAAAAAACATTAATTCAACATATGTATTTTCCAATAATTATACATTTGTTTACACAACAAATATTGAAACTGACTTCATTTATATTAAATTATACAATTTTAAGTTTTTGCATTTCTCAAGAGAAACGATTTTACTAATTGTGGTTCAGTAATTTTTAATTTGAATGTATTGCACTAATTTAACCTTTAGCATATTGTCATTTTTGCAAATTTAGTTATAAGAAAATGACCAAAAATCTTGAATAAAAAGGTTTTAATGACACAGACAAAGAAGTATATTACATATGTTAATATAGTAATATTTAAAAACTGTAAATAAATATATCTATTGTATTATATATATATATATAAAATATAATTTGAAAAAGCTAAAACTATTATTATAATGATAATTTTCGAAATTAGAGAAATTAAAGGTGTAATATTTGTTGTAAGAAGTGAGGTAAACTTTTATTATACGATAAGGTGGTCTATAACATTTTCTAACTTTATTTATTTTTAAATATGCAAATAATATATGAAATCTAAATTTTTAATCAAATGAATGTAGCAGTATGTTATTTAAATTTTTAATTATCACCAAAAATAGAAAATTATGCTTTTTAAATATTTATGAGTTTTGTTATAATTGGTTTACTAAAGATGAATAATTAACACCATTATAACACAAAGGTTTTATAAATGTTTTTATATTTTATAATTCGGCATAAAAAATGTAACTTATAATTAAATGTATGACCATTTTTATGAATAATATAATTATATTGTGTGTTTAAAAGGAACATTGTAAATAAAATAATATTAAAAGAGGTAATAACATAAGTTTGTTTAAATGCAACTTACAAGTAATGCATTGATATTTTTGTTATATTAATGCAACTTATAAGTAATACACATAAAGGTAAAGGTTTCTAATTTTTATTAAAAATAATATATATATATATATATATGGAAATTTATAACATTAAAATTTCATATTATAATTCAGATTTGTTCATGCATAAAGAAAATTTAAGCAACTATAAAGTATTTCATTATATTTTTATTCTTAAAAAATAAAAAATAATATTTAGTTGAAACTTTATCTTTATCTTCTTTTTATTTAAATAAAAATGTAACACCATTATCACCATATTGTATTGAATTGGTGTATATTTGTAAGTATATTTTAATCGTTCCAGCATCTGCTTGTTTAATTGCAGCCAGACACGTAAAAAGCTGATCAATCACGAGGAAGTGGCCGGATGGCAGCCGTCCGATTGTCTGGCGTCTCGTACTGGACGGTCCCGCGTCCCCAGCCGTTCGATCACAAGTTTGGCAGCTGTAACTTTTTTTCCACTACGTGGTGCTACCCAACGGTGGAGATTTACCGCGTTGATAATTTCCAATTTCTTATGTTGTGTCGGGAAGAATAAAAACCTTATTATTTTCTCGTGCGCTCCTCCGTCTCTCTCTTCTCTCTCTCTTTCTCTTGTGCGTGCGTGCGTGCTTTGGCGATGGCGGACGATAGCGACGATTCGAGCAGCGATGCGGCGCTGGGAGCTCACTAACGCCGGTATGCTCGCATTTCACGAATTCCTGGTAGAAAAATCCGGCCGGCTGGAGCTCCGGCTGGAAATTTCGCTGTGGCGCGCCTAGGGTTGTCTAGATCGTCGAGAGCTCGCACGATTGAGCTCCGAGGCAGGCGCTGGATGGAATCCCAGCGATTCTACAGGCGCTGGGGTGGAATCGGTGGAATGTAGCTAGCGGACAGGGCATAGAGCAGGGAAATTCTTGGCGGACGAGATGGTTTTCCCGGTGGGGGACGTGGCGACCGTTGCCCAGATTGCTGGCCTTGATTCTCTCAAGCTCATAGCGGCTGTTGCGGCCGCGGCCAAGAACGCGCGCATGCACAAGAAGAACTGCCGGAATTTCGCGCAGCACTTGAAGCTCATTGGGAATTTGCTGGAGAAGCTGAGGCTATCGGAGCTCAAGGAGCATCCAGAGACTAGCGAGCCTCTCGAGCGTCTAGAGGAGGCTCTCAGGAAGGCTTACATCCTCGTCAACAGCTGCAAGAACAAGAGCTACCTCTACCTTTTGGCGATGGGATGGAACATCGTTAACCAGTTCAAGCTCCGGCAGGCCGAGATCGACCGACTTCTCCAAATTATTCCTCTCATCAGTCTCGTAGATAACAATCGGGTACGCTGGCAGCGTGATCTTTCTTTCTTTTTCTTATTTTTTTTGTTTTGCTCTTTGGTTTGTTCGCTCGTCCATCTTTCTCACTATTTTGGTTTGTTTTACAGGCCAAGCGAGAGCTCCGTGAGATACAACGAGACCAGAAAGAGTACACTCTGGACGAAGACGAGCTCCGGCTCCAGGAAACAGTTCTAAAACCTGACTTAAGCGTCAACGAGTCGAGGGAGCTGCGGAGGAACCTCTCTCGGAACTACCCGGGGCTTGCTCTCGAGGAAGCTCTCCGGAAAGAAAACAAAAAGCTCAAGAAAGAGCTCCAGAAGATGCAGTCCCTCATGGAGGAAGACCAGTGCGACGTGATCCGCCGTCTTATTGACATCACCGAGACTGACGTGAAGGGTACCTACGAGAAGGATCCCGATTATATGAAAGAAGCCAAGAAGTACGAGCAATCCAATTACGAGCAGTCCAACTCCGACGCATACACCTATCAGGAGAGCCACAAATCCAAGTAAGCTGGCTTCCATCAGATGATTCCAGCTTTGTGATTCTAATCTTCGTGTGAACAGTGAAACGGCTTCTAAATCCTGGCAACTACAAGATTGGCATCATGATCTTTATGGATGCTGTGGGAGCCCCCTGCTGTGTAAGCCAACTAAATTATGTGTGTTAACGTAAAGTGGCTTGCGTGTGCTACAGGCGTGGGGACATTCTTGTGCCCTTGCTGCACATTTGCTACAGTCGCGGCGACTGCCACTAATGGAATAATGCGTGAGTAAGCTTTTCATCAAACCATGCTGATTCTCACTTACGTTTTTATTTCTTCTATGTGGGGCCTCAGCCAAGCATGCTGCTTGCACAAACTGTTTGATTTACACGATGGTGCTTAGCTGCTGCTTCTACACCTGTTGCTTCCGGCGTAAACTACGCAAGCTCTACAACATCGAGGTACAGATCCACTTATTTGATTGTTTTATTTTCTCCTGATCGCGTGGATGACAGGGCGGGTCCTGTGACGATTGTTGGGCGCATTTCTTGTGCTTCTGCTGCGCGCTCGTTCAAGAGGCACGGGAAATCAAAGCTCGTGAACGGGATGGAGGTAATTGCAACACTCTTCTCCTGTTTTATTACGTGATTGCGAATTAGGTGAATGCGTGCTTGCATGTGATACTCTTTGGTGATCCATTCTCACTTACACTTTTGGTGCCTGCGCATTTGCAGAGGGCAGTAGCAGCCAGAAGAGGATGATGCCGCCATCGGAGCAATGCATGGAGCGCGATCATTGACCCCCCTTGTGCAATACCACCAACACTTAAACAAGGAGGTACTTTTGGATAGTGAAATGCTGGCTGGCTTTCGTGAGAGTGAGTGACAGAAGTATGTTTTGGGACTGATTTCTCGAGTATGTTTCGTTTTCCCTACTTATACTTCCACGGCAGGGACAAGCCGAGAGAAAGTTTTTGTTTGTCGGAGAAGTTTGGAGGGAGGGAGAAAAAGAGAGGGGGAGAGAGATTTGGTGTTTGGTTGGGTTTGGTTTGTGACAGGTCAGGATTGTAAGAACAAGGCGTCAAAGCGAAGATAAAGATGGATCGTCCATCCATCAAAAGATATAACTTGCAACACTCGGTACCCATGGATGGAGCCAGCAAGCAAGCACACACAGAGGTACTTAAAAACTTGCCTTGATGGATATTTACTCGCTCGTCGTCTCGCCATGTCTTTACTTCCAGCCAAGCAAGCAGCAGTGCCGCCTTGATTGGTGCACACGACGTTTGCATCCCTTTGTCATCCACGTTTTTATTTATATGCGGCTTTGAAAATCGCGGCTAAGCTCTCTCTCTCTCTCTCTCTCTCTCTCTTACTTTCAAGGGGGGGATCTTTTCCAAGCGCGAAAGTGATTTGCGTTTGCATGGCAACGATGCAAACGCGAAAAAGGAACTCGCTGTCTACGTATGTGTATCCAATTCAATCACATTTACGCGATGGGAGCCCTACGTCATCGTCGTCATGTCCAAACGCTCCCTTTCCAGCCTCTGCCAAACAAAAATTAAATAAAGAGGGAGAGAAAAACGTCTCTAAACCTCTTCTTTGTAGCAGCTTTGGTAGAATGAATATAAGCGTTCGCTCGTTTGCCTCTCTCTTGCCTCTCTAATCTAATCTCCATCGATCATCTCCCTCCCTCTCCCAAACCCCAAAACCCAAAAGAAGAAAGAAGAAAGAAGAGAAAAAGAGAGCGAAGAAAAAAATGTAGGAATCGCCTCGCCCGCCAGTGTCGTAAGAAGAAAAAAAGAAAAGTAGCTCCAGACATCCCCAGTCCATCCAGAGAGAGAGAGAGAGAGAGCCCTTCCTTCCACTTCCCACCACCACCTCAGTTCTCCTCGTTCCACTCAAAGCGCTTCGCCACCCACTGTTTCACCAATCTCCAAGCTGTCTGTGATGGACTGCTAAAGGCGCTTGCCTCTTCTTCCTCCTCCCTGTTTTTCTATCCATTTCTTCGCTTTCTCATCCTCTGGGGCCTGGCCTGGCCTGGCCTGGGCTTGGCTGGGCTGGACTGGACTGCTTCCGTGGTAGAGGCCTCTGATCTCCTCCAAGCACAAGAAAGCCTGCGCACTGCTTCTCTCTGCCTATGTGTGTGTTGTTGCACGTGGTACACTGCCGCTGAGCCCGTGCACGGTGCGTTTGCTGCTGCTTAGTAGTAAGTGAAACGAGAGAGAGAGAGAGAGAGAGAGAGAGGAAGAGGCCCACCTTTTCTCTCTCGCCTTCTCTTGGACTTTGTGTGTCCCTCCTCCTGCTCTTTCTTGTAAGAAAGTACCAAAGTGAAGTGATGATGAAGTGATGATCCTTCCATCACCTCTCCTGTGTATATACTTTTTTGCCTTTCTTCTATCCCCCTCTGTGACCGCTTCGCCTCTGCCGAGAGGCGGCTTTTATAAACCGATGCCGAATGGGGGAAGCTGTGAATGAAGAAACGGCGACAGATTGCGAGAATTAGCCCCCCTTCTCTCCCGAGGACGCAAGAAAATGAAGACGAGGCGTACCTACGGTGTGGTGGTCTCTTTCACGTTCAATCTCGCCATGTCCGTAGACCCAAAGTGGAAGTGTATGTAGTGAGTGTGAATTGTTTGTATGCTTGGATCAAAAAAGCTGCCCGCTCGCTGCTGCGCTTGCCTGTGAGTCACTGCGCTTGCTGCTGCTGCTGCTGCTGCTGCTGCTACACTGAGCTCTCACTTGTGGAGTATCGGAGCGATGGGCAATAGAGATCTCCGTTGGTAGCTTCTGGCTTGCTGCTGCGAGCTGAGACGAGAGCCCAAGAGAGCAGCTCTCCCTTTCCATCTCTGTTGTCAAACTGATCCTCATCAACTTCCGACGCCGTGCGCTTCAACTTTATCCTGTGTATAAAGTTTGCCTTCTTCCACACCGCTCTCTCGTACAAAATGCCCCTTCCGGCCAAAACGATGCACCGACTGGATAAACACCCGACCCCGACCTCTGTGAGAAGGCAAGGCCCTGGATCCCGAAGAGAATGGCTTGCCTCCAACCTGACTCAAAACAAAAGCCGGGACCCCCCTCCCCAGTTCCTGAGCAGCAGCATGTATCTCTCTCCTAGTGATAAAAGCCTGCAACACAAACAGCATTCAAGAAGTCATTTTTTCCTCGATCAAGTACCAAGTTTTTCTGGTGCACTAGAAAACTAGACATTTAGGACAATCATGTTGGGGAGACAGTACCCATGGATACTGCAGGATGCTGCTGCGGCGGAGGAGGAAATATAAGCCACTCCTCAAGGAAAAGCAAAGCCGCACAGCACCAAAACAAAAAAACGTCGCCCACAAAACAAGCAAAACTGATCATCTGGAAGACTGGAACACCAACACCGAAACACAACGACCAAGCCAACCAAACCGATTCCCCAAACAACAAATTTCACAAGAAAAAAAAGAAAGAAAAAAAAAGAAAAAAAAGGAAAAACGAAGAAACCAAAAAAATGCAGCATACCAAAATCAAGATCATGAATGCCCGACGACAATACCTCCGCCGCTGCTGCCACCGCCGCTGGCTCCGCTCTCGCTCCCCGACCCGCGCGTTGACGACGCCGCAAACGGCCCCAGCGGGCTCAATCCCAGCACCGCCAGCCCCGCCTCATACGATCCCCCACCGATTCTCGCGATGTCCATCACTTGCTCCCGCGTCAGGTGCTGCTCCCTCGCGATCTCCAGCAGCTGGTCCCTCGTGAACATCTGCTGCTCGTGCTGCTGCTGCTGCCCAATTCCCAGATGGGCCGCCCCGGCCTGCGGTGGATGAGCTTGCGGCGATTGCTGGTGTTGTTGCTGGTGCGGATGTGGGTGTTGTGGATGTGGATGTTGCTGCGCCGCCGCCGCCACGGCCACCATCGGCACTGATGCGCTTGTGTACCTCGCGAGATCCTGCTGGGCGATGGCCAGCTCGTGCTGCAAGCGCGCTACTTGGCGCTGGAGCATGGAGATTGCGCCGACGCAGCCGTAGACGGGATCCTTGACGCGGGCGTCGGCCTCGTAGGCGAGCGAGTTGACCGCGTCCTCGCGCTGGTGCGGGGGGAGCTCGTTGAGCAGCTTGGTGATGTTGCTGGCTCCAAAGATCTTGTGCACGTTTGCGAACTTGTGGGGCTGGTCCGGCGGGAAGTACGGCGCGAAGACGCACTCGGGCGTACACTTTCGCCGCAGGAACTTGCAGGCGGCACACGGGGAGCTCGAGGACGATGCCATGGCGGTGGTGGATGGCGACGAAGATGAAGCGCTGCTCGATCTTCTCCTGTTGCTGCTACCACCGCGGCCAGCCACCTTGGATCGGAATTTAAGACTCTTGCCGAGCGCCCTCCAATCCTCGTGTGGCACCTGATCACATCGCGGATCTCCTGGACCTCCTAGTCTTCGTCTTGGTGACCATGGAGCCGATGATCTCGAAGGATAAAAAAATGATATATCCGGGCTGTGTGGGAGCTGCTCGAGGCGACGAAGGAAACACCAGTGGTTGACGATCGATTCTCTTGTCTTGTGGCGTCGATGGCTGCTGGCTGGCGTTGCTCACCGCGGCGACGGATCTGATTGACGAGGAGGAGAAAAAAAAACTGGTGGAAGTGGCACTGTGGTGGCTCGGGAACAACGAAAGCGGTCCCTCTCGTCTGGATTGGGATTGGAGATCCGTCCTGCCGATGGCCGAAGCTTCACAAACCTAAAATATTCCAAGTCTGCGTTGAATGCCACCAGCAGCCAGCACGCAACCACATGTGAGCCGGCCACAAAGAAGAAATACTTTTTTCTCCTCTTTTTCTTCCTCCTCGCCTCCTCCTCTTCCGTGATCTTCTTGCAAGAACGATCCGCAACAAGGCGCTCCTCACGAGAGATTTCGCCGACAAAGCAAGCAGCAGCACCTGTGAAGGCCGCCCGGTAACCACCGCGCCGGCGCGGCACAGCGCCTTCTTGGACGATAATCCGGCCGACAGCGCCGAAATTCTCCGCGCGGCAATGCAGCCTGGCCAAGATCCGCGACCACGGCCACGGCCGACGCCTGCCCGGGCGAATTCTCGAGCAAATGCCGCTGGGATTCGCCTCACAGCGCCCGAATTCTCTCCGGCCGCGCCGAAATCCCGCCGCGGCTCCACGAATCGCGAGCATACTGCTGCCGGAGCTGCCGCATATCGATCGATCCGGATGGAGGATCCGGAAAATATCCCTAATCACGCAAGAGCTCGGCAGCGCAAAGATGAGACGATCGATCACGCAAAGAGAAGGAGAGAGCGCCCCAAGACGCGCAACGCAGCACAAAGAGGGCAAAATGGGAAAAGAGAGAGAGAAGAGAGATGAGAGCGGAGAGAGGGAGAGAGGGGAAAACCTAGGTTGGTGGTGGGTGGGAAAAAAAAGGGCTTTCCTTCCAGGAGGGTTTATCACCTCTTTAAGAGGGTTTAAGCCGACAGCCAGTGACCGCCCGACGCGTGTCCCGGACCCCACGTGGAAGTTACGTTACGCAAGCGGTCACGCCGACGTCAGCGGTTCCTGCCAGCGTGGCAGCGCCACCCCGACAGCTGGCGCACCGCCGGTGGCACCACGTGGAAGATCTCTGCTCATGGTCAGCATCGCTTAAAGAAGCTTCTTTGCACCACAAAAAAGAGGCGGCCTTGTTCTTGTGCTATGTGACCGTGACGTGGCCGCGAAAGTCCATGCTGCGTCAGTGAGGCCATATGTCAGTTTTCCGGCCGCGGGGCGGTGACGGGCGCCCGTCACGGCGGATATTCCATATTCCAGTGGCATCCCGGGGTCTCCATCGATCGATCCATGGGCGGAACTAGATTTCCATTTGGCCGCTAGCAGCAGTAACACTCACCGCTACGTGACGAGCCCGCGAATAACAGAACGAATATGCGGGGTTTACGCTGGAACCCAGGTTTAGCGGCGGGTTTGAATGGTCAACTTTGTCTTCGAGAGACATTGAATCGAGCAGCATTCGCTCCATCTATTGCCAAGCCCCCCGTACGATTAGGGCTTAAAGGTGATATGTCAATCAAGGAATTACGGCGGATCTCTTGATCTTTGGATGGCTGGCATGTCATTCTTGTGTTCTTCAACGATTCCCATTGGCGGGCGATATGAAAAACGAGTGAAACAAATGAAGGGATGGACACCAGCGAGTGAGAGAGAGTGAGAGAGATCATACGTCCAAAGTTTAAAGAAGCGCCAGCAAGGCAGGACCCTAAAATCGAGCTGACGTGGCAGGTCGCGAGTCGCTTGCGGCATTTGTGTGTGCCTTGTCGGCGGCTGTGGCGGCTTTGTTTCCACAGTTTTTCTTTTTTTTTTTAATTTTTATTAATTATCTTTTGAGCTTTAGCTTTCTTGAATCTTTTTCTATAAATCAAAAAAAAAATATGGAAAGAAAAACCAGCAAATATTTAAGACATAGAAGACTTTGGGAGCGTTGTCTCTGTCCAATTCATACAACTTGTACTTTAACCTATCGATCGATTGCGCAGATAGACACCGAGATCCCCGACTTCCAAGGCTATGGTTTCCGCAGACAAATAATTCCCGGCTTTTGCGTCCAGCTCCAGATTGTAACTGGGAGCTGGAGGCTCTGGCGCTTGAATTGATTGAGTGAATTGGATGTAAGTAATGTCGCCAGCGACTTGCTCGCTTCTGAGAGTTCTTCTTCCTCGACCAAAAAAGGAGATTTGGAGATGGGATATGTTCCATTTTATAGCAGGAATCTTTTCTTCTGTTAGATAAGCAAACAAACGAGGAGATCGTTTTCGGTTTTCCAGCCATGGAGGTACGGGAAGAACATTCTCTAACTGGAGAACCGTGCGAAAGCGATGGGATATTCCTCCCTTCCCGTGTCGATTCTGTCCAGAAAAACTCCAAGCGCTAGAATGTCTATTTTGCATTCTCGTGTTAAGTGGGCTTTTCGGAGGTTTGATTGCTTTGAGGCATACCATGGTAGGATATTCGGCTCTTATTTGCTTAAAACACGTTAAAGTTCCAAAATTTAAGCATTTTAATTCACTTTATTTCATTTTTATTACTCTTTACAAAAGTTTTCAATTTTTTCGCTAGCCCGAGCAAATAATTTTTACATGTTTTGTGACATCGAAACAGTAGTACACTGAGAGTCGGGAATCAAATGATCCAGGACAGTATTTCTGGATTTTTGGTAAAAAATAATGGAGAATTAGAAAAATAAATATATATTTTTCCAAGATTATACTTCGAGCTTGATTTTCGGAATTCCTGTTTGAGAATTGTGCGCGTACTGTCGAAAACATTCCAACCGTATGAAAGTGTACATATTTGGAGTTCTCACTTTTAACCCTTGTCCAAGAAATAATATAAAAAACGGAATGATGTGGCAAATCCTGGGCCGCGCGATTCAAATCCTCTGACGGCCGGATGGCGACGGGCAATTAAATGGGGGAAGGTGGAATCACTACTGGGTGGAGCGCAACACCAGCGAAAGAGAGCAAAGAGGGAATGAGAGAGGAAGATTCTCTCGCCTTGGTGCGTGACCTAGGTCTTAGCCCGGCTATGGCGCCGCGACGAGGAGGTGGACGACGGAGGCGCCAGGGCGCGGCGCCTTGAGAATGTGAGCATTCTTTCGGAGATTTCGATCCGGGAGCTCGCAATGGCGGCACGGATCCTTGCCATCGTCTTGCTCTGTAAGTCTTGCCGAATTTCGGGTGGTAATCCACCAGCATTGCGAGCGCTTGCTCATCTAGTGCTTGGCCGTGGCCAGGGCTTGTAGGTTTTGGAGATCTCAAGGCCGAGGAGGCGCTACCAGCATTCGATGGGAATCTGTCGATTCCCGCGGTTGTAGGCGCGCAGCCGCCCTTCTTCCTGCCTGTGTCGCCGAGCGCGCCTGGAGCGATCCCCATTGTCTCGCCATCGCCTATGATTCCAGTTCTGCCCAATCCATCCTCGCCAAAGCTATCAGGTAAGTGTTCCTCTCTTTTCCTTTCGCATAAGCATACAATGCTTGTTGTCTTCCATGCTAGAGTGTAAGTTGGATTTCTTTGAATTTGCCTCGTTCAGTGTGTCTGCATGGATATTATACTTCTTTGCTTGCGTCTCAGTCTCATTTAAATGCTGGCTTGAGTGTTCTCCAAGTTGGTGTTTGTCTCCTTTTTGTTGTTTTCGACTAATCGAACTAAATAATGTTTTCTTCTTGTCTAGGACACTGTAAGCTCAACTTCTCGGCTCTAACTCCAGCAATCGATCGAACAGCACAAGATTGTCTCGCTCCCTTGGCATTGTACGTGGGCGAGGTTATCTGCTGCCCACAGTTGCAGACACTCTTTCGTCTAGCTCAAGGGCATCACAGCAACACGTCCGGTCGGCTCACTTTCAATCGTACTGAAGCAAGCTACTGTTTCTCCGACATTAGCAGCCTGCTGGTGAGCAAAGGAGCCAACACCACCGTATCGGAGATATGTTCCTTGGAGCCGAAAAGCTTGACAGGAGGGCAGTGTCCGGTGTACGAGACAAAGGAGCTCTACAGGCTTGTCAACACTTCTAGGCTTCTCGGGGCCTGCAAAGGAGTGGACCCCCTGAAAGAATGCTGCAAGCCGGTTTGCCAGCCAGCGCTCGAAGAGGCCGCGTTACAGCTCGCCTCGAATGGCTCATTTGGATTCGTGAAACAGAGCGGACTTGTTCCAGCCTCGGCGGACGATCAAGTGTTGGAAGACTGCAAGGACGTTGTTCTTGCTTGGGTCGCTGGCCAGCTCAATCTAACCGAGTCTAACACGGCACTCCGGAATCTATTCAGCTGCAAGGTTAACAAAGGTGAGACTGATTCTTTCTATTCTGGATAGAAGTTTTCCTAAGCTTTTGTTCTTTTCAGCGTGTCCTTTGGTTTTTAGCGACGTATCTGCAGTAGTCGATGATTGCCATGGACTCTCGCCATCCAACGTTACCTGTTGCAGCTCGCTGCACAGATACATCTCCGAAATGCAGCAGCAGAAGCTGATCACGAACTTGCAAGCGCTAGAGTGTGTGAGTTTACTCGGCTCGATGCTGCAAAAGCGGGGTGTTACAAGCAATATTTACGATCTATGCGGCATCTATCTCAAAGATTTCAGCCTTCAAGGTACCGCAAGCTTCTCCTTTGTGTTTCGCTTGGCATCTAAAACAAAGGTTTTGTTCTTCTCTTGTAGGTGCTGGAGATCAAGGTTTGTGTGTTTGATGCTCACTAGCTTTGTGCTGCTGGTCTTAAAAGTGTTGTCATTTTGTAGGGTGCTTGCTAAATAGCTTGCCGTCTGATGTGATGATCACGAGTAGCTCCGGCATCACCTTCACTTGCGACTTGAATGACAACATCGCTGCTCCATGGATGCCAATGTCTACGAGTTCCCTGTGCTCTGGAGGAAGTAAGCCGCTTCCCTTTTACTACTCGAAGCTCATCCCTCTTGTTTCTACAGGGCCAAACATCTCCTTCCCGAAAATCCCACAATCCGCGGCCCCCCTCACGTCTGGTACGGCTCATCTGTTCTTCTTTTAGTTCTCGTTTCATTTCTCAAAACGTTTCAGGAACTAACTTCGCAAGAGCCAGCTCGATCACTGCGTTTGTAGCTCCGCTCCTGATCCTGGTGATACTATCAACTTCGATTTGACACAACTAGCGCGAAAGATCTTCCAGTCGATAGAATACATACTCAAGGCTTTCGAGTGTAAGGGAGTTCCTCTTTTTTCTTCCTCGGTCTAAGGTTTTATGATATTTCAGAGTATATAAAAAAAGAACTTAGCTCCTCTCGATTTCCAGACTTATTACGGTGAAAAATAAATCTCCCAAGTTTCTCCTCAGTTCTTCACTGTTGTCACGTACTTGATCAAGAGAGAAGTGATCTACACAAATAAACGAAACGCTCGATCAAAACTCCAATCGCAAAGATATGCAAAATCACCTCTTGAGACACTCTGGATGCCTCCGACGAGAGCATTTTGATCTTGTGCGTGGTGTCGGCTTCCAGCTTCTTGGCAGTGGATCCAGAGTCGCCGCTGCTCTGCTCGATCAAACCCACTGGAAAAATTAATTGGAGGAATCGAGACAAGGAAACTCTCACCTCTGCGAGTTTCTTCCGGTACTCGCTCTCTCGCTGAGCTCTGTAAGCCGCGACTTCTCTCTCGGCTTCCTCCTTGGCCTGGCGCAAGCGCGCCATCTTGGCTGCGATCCCACCAAAGAGAAGAAATCATTGAAATTGGATCGAGCAGCGATTGGATTCGGCCGCGAATCGCAAAGAGAACTTACCGCTCCTGGCATTGGCGACGATGCTCTGCGCCTCCTGTTCCGCCGCCAGCAGCTGCTGGATCCCTCCCTGCGACTTATCCATCTCCCCTTTGCGGAAGAACCCTAAAAAAGATACCGATCGAATATAATACAAGCTCGTATATTCTATGGAACCCTAGCCCATTGGAAATTCCTCCAGAATAAAATTCTTATATTTGGAGAGTATATATTCCATGAGACAGGAAAAAAATATCGGGCTTGGGCACATTGCAAAAGGCCAAAGACAATCGAGTCTGTGTTGATGATTGAAGTTTCAAGGTCTTATGCTGTTAAGAAGATCAAGTGGTGTTGTTGGAGAAACCTGTCTACATCCTCCTTTTTGCCAGTGAAATGGGTGATTATAATATATCATGCTGTACTATCTTGTACCATTTTATACTTTATTATATGAACTTTCTCTTGTGCTCATTAGCTGGATTTTAATGTTATTTGAGATTGTTTGAGACCATAAACCATAAATTGATTGTTTCAGCCTACACTGCTTTCTACTTCAAAAGTAAGAAATTGTCATGTGTGTACTAGTTGCTAAAGTTTCTGTTCAAAAAAGTGTTCTTCGCATCCATCTACTCAACATCCCAAGTCCTAAATAGTTAACAATAGAAACCATTTTAATACTGTTCATCAGAGTCAATACCATCTTTCTATGTGCATCTGCCATCCAAGATCAAAGATCAAAGATCAAAGAGTAACATACTCAACACTCCTATGACCACAAGCACTTGAGCCAAGGAGTGAATACCTCCCCTCGGGGAACACCATCTCTTCGCTGGATATCAGCCCACAGTACAACAGTGCTAAGATGCACAGCCCTCAAAGCCATTGGCCAGAACAGAGAAGAAACGCCACGGCCATTATCTGTGAGCAAGAAGACATGAACAGAGTAAGAGATCTTGGATGAGCAGCTTCCATCCTGGCCCTCACAGTTAACTTAATCAGACTGTCTGTATCCGTTGGATTGAAAAATGTTACAGCCAAGAATGTGCTTATTCTTGAGAATATGTGCACTCCACCATAACATCGCCCTTAACAGCTCAGGCACAGCCCCATTATTCAGTCACATATATCTGATTATATTATCTACCCCAATCACCCGCCACAAGCTCGTGATGGACTGTTCTTAGCTAGTTCGGGCACAGCCCCGTTAAGGACGGGCAACTGCAGTAACATACTCGTCCCGGCTTGGGCCCGGTAACGGTAGCAAAATATATCTCTAATCTGATGTTTGTAATCTAACACAAAAAGCGAGAATAGCGCCCAGATCATCGTCACACCTCGATGCTCAACCATACCATATTCAAGTTCCTAGCCTCTAAAATTTGCCTCAAGAAACTGAAAGAGGCGATTCACCACTCGTATACCATCTACTACTCTCCCGGATTCCATCAAGATACAGCTCCTTTGAAACACTTTCGATGTCTATAATAATGGTTCCCATTGATCCATTCCAAAACGCAGTAGACCACTGTCCTTGATTCCGGTAAAGCAAGTGCAGTTGCATAGGAATACAGTGTGCTAGAGCGGGATCCCTAACACCCGACTTTAGCGTAGCATCTTCAGTCAGCTGATGTTGATCAGTGCGGAGTACCGATACCGTCTTTCCATCAGGGAGCTGGAACTCAAATTCCCTGACCACATCATTGTTTTCACAGACGAAGGCAGTGCACATCTGCTGATCCTTGCTCAGAGCAGAGAGGAACATTGGCAGGTATACCCGTTCGAATGCACATAGACATTGTAAATCCCCTCTTTCATCTTGCCATGTACGTTTGCGGCGTCACGAAACCAACGTGGACATTTCGGATGTCCCAGCAGCGGCAAAAACAACGGCATAGATCTAGAGGCCATCCTTCCCCTGTGTTTCTTTCACATAGCCTCAAAGGCAGCAGTTAAGTCTGTCATACCCACGCTCTCATGTCGGTCCTCAAAGACGTTCCTGGTTCCCAACAGAAACAGATACTCGCCTATTTCTACAGTAGAACTGTCACTCAGTACCCGTCCAACACCTGCCTCTAAAACCGACGCTCCCTGCTTTGCTGAAAGATACCACCCGAAATAGCAGATTACAGCCTTCTCCAGCTCATTAATTCCGTTTTCCATTCTCCTATCCACCACCTCGTAGAGGCTTGTCGGAAAGTATGGCCTTCCCTCCCAAGTTGTTTGTACGGCTATCACATACTCGGCCGCTTCCCCAAGCTTCATCTTCTCCGCCAGCATAACCTAAAGAACATCACAGAATGGGCGGAATCGTCCCCAAAACTTCAGAAACGTTTCACTCTCAAGCAGGGCCAGATCTTCTTGGGACAGCGGGAGCACCCGCCCACCATCTGTTTCGGTCCATCCCAAGCAGAGAAGTTGGTGAATTCTCCCGGCCAACCAGTCATTTTTTCCCCTGGAGCATAAAGAAGTTTCTGCTTATAATGTCGTGCCAGTAACTACTACCATATTGCCTCCGCGCTTGAGAGCTTGAACCAGTGGATAAGCCGCTAGCGGAGCTCCATCGAGAACCACAATCCGGAATCGGACTAGGAAGAAAGATCATATACTGAATGTTTGTAGCATTTAAATTTGGCTGATTCAGAAAAACAGTTTTTTGTTTTCTTGTGCTGTGAACAAATACCATCTTTATCAGCCGACAAGCTCTTCCTAGCTCTCTGGAAAAAACTGCAAAACGCATCGTAGTTGGTCTTCAGATGCTTCGACATGCAGTTTGCAGCAAAAGGCACTGCCGACAGTTAGCCCCTTTGCCTTACAGTACTGATAAATAACCATCCGACAGGCGAGTAGAAGCATCACGTAAACCGCTACAACTTTCTCGTTGCTTCTTGTTTTGTTAGGATAGGTGATGAAGCTCCGAAATCTCGCTACCGCCTCGGACAGGTCATTGGATTCTACCATCAGTTGAGCAGACATGACAAAGTAGAGGCCATACTCCTCCTAAAACATGAAACACGACACTAGCATTGAGCGATGCAAATCAGTTACGGTCAATAAATCCAACACCGATCTCGTCTTTCCACAACCAGGACTTCCCGCCACAACTGTGACCGCCTGCATGTTTCTTTCAGCTTCAGAGATTTTCTTCTTCACGTCTGGGGCGTGCGTGAAATCCTGCCGTCCAAGATCGAAGAGTAACATAATCGGCACTCCCGCGTACACGGGCACTTGACAGTGTCCATTACCGGCAGTGAATACCTCCCCTCGAGGAACCCATCCAGGAACTCCATCTCTTCGCTGGACAGCTTAAATACATCAGCCCAACGGCGCCAACTTCTGATATCAATGAGGATTAGAAAGGGAAAACAAGATGCAAAGCCAGCAAAGCGATCTATACATTCAAAGAGACCACGGCCATTACCTGTGAGCAAGAAGACATGAACAGAGTCAGCCACTCTTGGCACCACCGAGAGATCTCGGGTGAGCTGCTTCCATCCAAGTCGCCCTTTCCCCTCCTTGAGAAAGTAACACTCCAGGTATTCCAAAAGGGCAGCTCCATTTGCTAGGCCCTAGGAAACAGCACACCACTTCATTGTCATCCGGATCAAGTGCTCCCTCCAGCATGCTCACTCCATACTCGAGAAGCAGCAGCTCATACTTAGTCTTAAATTAAACACCACTAGTACCTTTACACCCCTTTAAATTTCTTCGGGGTTTGGCCTTCGTTCATTCATTCTGACAGCACACAATCGCTGAGCTTTGTAAGCCGCTCGGGGCCTGCCATCTTGGTACCACAGAGAAATTGGATCGAGCAGCATCGCAATCAGCGCTTACGGGCCAAGGATGACGGAAAGTCCTTCTGAAGCTTTGCTCTCTCCCCTCTAAAACTTCCATCTTTCTCGAGCTTTCCTAGCATGAGCTTGCACAAACTCCAGCTGGGGTTGACCACATTGCAAAAGGCCACAAAATAATCGAGTATCTCTTCATGGGAGTCTCCAAACTTTGCTAGCATGCGTTCCAAGGTCTTGGGGAATGCCCGGCCGCGAGGATCCCTCACCACTACCAAGTCAAATAGCTTTCGGCTGATCAGAGAATCGTAATCTTTTGATTGGACAGCCTCCTCCAGCATGTCGTCTAGAACGTCCGGGCCAAGTGACTCCATGAGAACCCCCAGAGCATCGCGGCCAGAATTGCTCCTCAAACAATCCAGAACTAATTGGCCCTTGAAAGGATTCAAGGATTTGATGCTCACACCCCTGAGTTTGGCCTCCTTGACGACCATGACAGCATCCTCAAAACTCTTGGTTTTGTTGTACAGCATCGCGTAAACCTTTGCAGGCTCATCGAACATTATATCGGGAAGAAGATCAAGCGCTGTTCTTGGAGAAACCTTATTAATGCTCCTCTCGAAAGCCCTGTGGTGTTTGTGTACGTTTAGTTTGACACCCTTTGCTCGTGCCGCAATAATAACTCGGTGAGCAAACTCTAGATCCCCCTTTTCTGAAGCCACGGACAAAGCAAACCTGTAGTTCTTTGAAGTAGCAGTTAAATGCGGGTGCTCTTCAACCATGGCATAAAACAGGTCTTTGATGCTCCATTCCGGAAGTCTGGATAGCTCAAAAAGCTTAAACCCGCGCTTGTAACCCAATTTCTTCATCAACTCCAGCTTCTGGACAATCTTACTGCGAGATACTTTCGATTTGAGGGAGCTTTCTAGCACACTCGCGAATGCCGCTTGGTCACAACCTTCGTTGAGAAGCTCCAGAGCTGTAGCCACGAGGCCTTGCTTCAGGAACTCTTTTGCTTCATTTGGAGTTGCGCTTTCCAGCGGCACTTCAACTTGAGATGCAGAGAGCAAAAGTTCTACGGTCTGATGAAACATTCGCCACTTTTTACTTCGTACCAAAAGCTCGAGGATCACACCACCTTTAAAATCCCGCAGTATGTTGATTTTTTTCACCATGCTCTTGTCCTCTAGGCAATCCAGCTCTTTCAGGAAACTAAGCACACATTCATCCTGTGCAACGTCGTAGTCACAATGAGAGAGCTGTTTTGCTACTGTTTTCAGTGGATTCAACGTTGTAACACCCACACCCTTGGCCTCTCTTGCAATCGAAAGGGCGTCGTCCAGATCCCAACTGTAATCAAGCAATATCTGGTAAGCATCTTTGGACGCCCCACACAAATCCAACACTTTCTGCTTCCAGAAGTTGTCATTCTTGTGGTTGCAAATGCAGTGCCTCAAGTATTCCAGATCCACCATCAATTGGACACCCTGGGCTTTTGCTTCCATAACAACGGAATGGTAGAAATCCAAATCGTAATCAGTGGACCTATGCTTGACGAGTTCTACCACCTTTTCATACCCTTTGAATTTCACAAGCTTTTGCGGATGTTTCTTCATCATTCCCAGGAAAACCTTTCTGACTGCATTGGTTTGCGAGAACGCATCTCCAAACAGCTCAACTCTGCACCAGTAATCAGCATCCCTCACCTCTGAAAGAAACCTGAGCTCGAGATTGGGATTCCGTAGCAGCTCCGAGTATAGAGGCTCGTCGCACTTGTCCATGATTTTGAAAGCCATGGCCAGGCAATCTTCCTCCACAAGCCTGGACACAAGCTTATCATGGCATCTGCCTTCGGTAAGCTTGTGAAACGCCATGGTGTGCAAAGGATTCGCCCTATGTAGTATCGCAGTGATGATCTCGTCGGAGAAACAATCCTTACACTCTGAGTAGAGGCGGCCAAGTGCACTGCAAAGCTGCCGATCCAGATCCACGTTCTCTATCATCACCAACAACACGCTCTCCATGGATGCTTTAGGGCTTTTAGGGGGGACCAATTTTATTTGGAGGTTTAGGGTTTTTTGGCGTTTACTAAAGAATATTCGACACCCGCGTTTACAGGCTATTAGGGTTTATGATGGAATGAGGAAGATTTCCTGCGCGCTGCGCTCGATCTCTCTTCCTGCTGGATCCAGAGCCAGGTATCTCTCATCGCAATCGATTCTATTCCCCGCGGCCGGAGCGGATCACGATTACTCGCGGCTCCTGCAAGAATGCCGGGGTGTGGAAGATCTTGCGAGAGGTAGGGGGATTCATGCCCGCCTAGCGCAGGAGACAGGGCTGCTGGAGGAGTCGTTTTGCGTGGGGAACAATCTCGTCAGCATGTACAGCCGGTGTGGAAGCCTGGGCGACGCAGTTGCCGCGTTTGGGAAAATCCGGGCGAGGAATGTGGTGTCCTGGAACGTGATGATCTCGGCCTACAGCAGCTACAAGAGCTTCCAAGAGGCGCTGGCGCTCTTCCACGCAATGCTGCTCGAAGGAGTGGCTCCAAACGCGATCACGCTGGTGGCGGTGTTGAATTCCTGCGGGAGTTTTCGCGAGCTCCGGGATGGGATTCTCGTGCATGCTCTCAGCTTGGAGCGGGGATTCTTCCAGAACACTTTGGTGGCCACCGCGCTTCTCAACATGTATGGGAAGTGTGGAACACTCTTGGATGCGCAGTCGGTCTTTGAAGAGATGGCCGAGAAGAACGTCGTGACTTGGAACGCGATGCTGGGGGTTTACTCTTTGCGAGGCTGCTGCTGGAAGCTCGCGGTGGAGCTCTTCACCAGGATGCTGCTCGAGGGTGTCAAGGCGAATGTCATCACTTTCCTCAACGTGCTCAACTCCGTGGTGGATCCCGACGCTCTTCGCAAAGGCAAGTTCATTCATTCTTGTGTCCGTGAGAGCGAGCATTCTCTGGATGTTTTCGTGAACACCGCACTGGTTAACACGTACACCAAGTGTGGCAGCTTGACTGACGCAAGGAAAGTTTTTGATGGAATGCCTTGCAGGAGTGTCGGTACTTGGAACTCGATGATTTCGGCGTATTCCATTAGCGAGCGCAGTGGAGAGGCTTTCTTCATTTTCCAGAGAATGCAGCACGAAGGTGAGCGTTGTGATCGGGTGACGTTCCTCTCAATTCTCGATGCTTGTGTGAATCCAGAGAACCTCCAGCACGGGAAGCACGTCCGGGAAAGCATCAGCGAGACTAGTTTCGAGCTCGATCTATTCGTTGGGACGGCTCTCATCACCATGTATGCGAGGTGCCGGAGTCCGGAGAATGCAGCTCAAGTTTTCGGTCGAATGAAGCAGAAAAATCTCATCACCTGGAGTGCGATAATCACAGCTTTCGCTGACCATGGTCACTGCGGAGAGGCCCTACGCTACTTCAGGATGATGCAGCAGGAAGGGATTCTTCCCAACAGGGTGACTTTCATCAGTCTTCTCAACGGATTCACAACTCCCTCCGGTCTCGAGGAACTCAGCCGGATCCATCTCCTTATCACGGAGCATGGACTCGACGACACCACCACCATGAGCAACGCTCTTGTCAACGTTTATGGACGTTGTGAGAGTCCGGACGACGCAAGGACAGTGTTCGATCAACTCGAGCTTCCGAATCTCATCTCGTGGAACTCGATGATTGGAATCTACGTGCAGTGCGAGAGACACGACGACGCTTTGCAGCTCTTTCGGACCATGCAGCAGCAAGGGATCCAACCAGACAGAGTAAATTTCATGACCATCTTGGGAGCCTGTACGATTGGCTCTCACGGAAGAACTCGCAAGTTAGTGCACCAATGCGTCGAAGAGAGTGGACTGGGAGGCTCGCCCCTGGTGCAAACATCCCTGGTGAACATGTATGCCAAAGCTGGGGAGCTCGATGTAGCAGAGGTGATCCTGCAAGAGATGGACGAGCAGCAGATAACCGCATGGAACGTCCTCATCAATGGGTACACACTACACGGGCGAAGCAGGGAAGCTCTGGAAACTTACCAAAGGCTCCAGCTCGAAGCCATCCCAGTGGACAAGGTTACCTTCATCAGCGTCCTCAACGCATGCACAAGCTCAACGTCTCTGGCCGAAGGCAAGATGATCCATTCCAACGCTGTGGAGTGCGGCCTCGACTCCGACGTGATCGTGAAGAACGCACTGACCAACATGTACTCAAAGTGCGGCAGCATGGAGAACGCTCGCAGGATCTTCGACAGTATGCCCATCCGCAGCGCGGTGTCCTGGAACGGCATGCTCCAAGCCTACGCTCAACACGGAGAGTCCGAGGAGGTGCTCAAGCTTATCAGAAAAATGGAACAGGAGGGCGTGAAGCTCAACGGAATCACTTTCGTCAGTGTTCTCTCGTCGTGCAGCCACGCCGGTTTGATCGCAGAAGGCTGCCAATACTTCCACTCTCTGGGCCACGACAGGGGGATCGAAGTAAAGACCGAGCACTACGGCTGCCTCGTAGATCTTCTGGGAAGAGCAGGGAAGCTCCAGGAGGCCGAGAAGTATATCAGCAAAATGCCATCGGAACCAGAGATCGTTACCTGGGCCAGCCTTCTCGGAGCGTGCAGAGTTCACAAAGATCTCGACCGGGGAAAGCTCGCCGCGAGGAAGCTCCTCGAGCTGGATCCAGGCAACTCCTCGGCCAGCGTGGTTCTCTCCAACATCTACTCGGAGCGCGGAGACTGGAAGAACGCTGCGAAGCTGAGAAGAGCCATGGCCAGCAGGCGAGTGAAGAAGGTCCCGGGCATCAGCTCGATCCAGGTGAAGAACAAAGTTCACGAGTTTCGAGTCCGGGACACGAGCCATCCTCGAGCAGCGGAGATTTACGACAAAGTGGAGGAGCTGTGCTTTGCGATGAGGGAGGCAGGCTACGTCCCAGACACAAAGATGGTGCTGCACGACGTGGACGAGGAGCAAAAGGAGAGCTTGCTGGCTTACCACAGCGAGAAGCTGGCAATCGCGTTTGGGTTGATAAGCACTCCGGAGAAGAGCTCGCTACACATCTTCAAGAACTTGAGAGTGTGCGAGGACTGCCACACGGCGACCAAGTTTATCTCCAAGATCACCGGGCGAGAGATCGTCGTCCGCGACAACCACAGGTTCCACCACTTCAGGGATGGCTCCTGTTCGTGCAAAGATTACTGGTAAAACGAAATGAATAATCATGCATTCTTTTTCTTTTATCCTTATAGCTTACTTCACTTTTCTCCGGCAGTCACATCACTGAATATTCCAGTTCATTCTAAATAATGATACTCCTTTAGAAAGTATTTTCTTAAGTATTAAGACATTCAATAGTATAAAAATAAAAGTACTTTAATTTTCTCCTTTTCTTTTTCATAGTTGACAGTGAAATTAAGTATTTAAAATATATTATTATATAGATAATAACAAGAAAATTGGTACTAAATTTATAATTTCATAAAGAATATATATCAAATATTATGTGAAATGTTAAGATGCATTTCAAAGTAAATAGCTTAGATTCTTATCCATAAAACTACAACCCCATACTTATAAAGGGATTACCTTAAATATATACCTTAGCTATATATAAAGCCTAGCATATAACGGTTGTTTAGTGTTTATAAAAAGCTAGGAACTTCTGAATCTTTTAGAGATGGATGATTAAGTAAGTAACAATTGTTTTTGGGTTTTTTGGCACTCAATTGGGGGCATAAAAGCATAATATAATGGATGCTAATGGAGACTCTCTTGTCTTTCTAGTTTTCAATCATGCCTTTCACCAATGCCAATACTTATGACCAAGTGCTAACTTATACAATCTCAAAATTGTATTTGTCAAGTGCAACAATTAACCTTAAGATCAATTTTTTTTTTCTGTTTTGCAATAAGAACAAGTCCATAGATGACAAAAATCATGAACACAAGGAGAAAGCAAGGAAATTGTTGTTTCCTTCTTTAAATCATGAAGCATTCACTTCCAATATGCACCCATTGTAGTGGTTGTACTGTGAGAGAGCAGAGGGTATCGTCCCAGCAAACTACACTGGGCATCATCTCAACATAAATAATAATATAACACCGCTTCAATGTACATACAATATAATAAAGAGAATCATGGTACTTATTTCAAAATAAACTTCTCAGTCACAATACTCCAATTCTTTAGGCAACATGGGACAAAAAAACAAGGAGTGCACTCAAGCTTGATCAAATTGTTTGCACTTACAAATCTAGCAAACACTCAGTTAAAGCACTATACTTCTTAGTTGCATTGCTTTCATGATCCAGCCTAATTAGAGCAATCTAGGTTTTATCTTCTTGAGTGTCTTTTTTATTCCATTCTATTAACTCTGACCCAGATGTGATGACACTGATAAGAAGGGGTCATGTACTTTTCTTCCCATTTATTTGGTCATTGGATTACTAGGTAATATGCTGTGTGGCACTTTACAAGAGGAGAGGGGAAGCACATGTATATTGGATGGCAAGAGGAGAGAGGAAAAAGGTGGCTATGGAGCTCTCACTTAGGAAGACAACTTTAGTCTGTAGTAGTGAGAAGAAACCATAACTAAATTTTCAAAATGCCTGCAAACACTCTGATGTAGCCTCACTGCCATGAACATCTACACCCCTGTTGAGGAGGAGTTGCCAAAGAAGCTCACTTTTGCTTCTATGTCTCACTATGATTTCCTTTCAAGTAACTTATAATGAGATCATGTGTTGCATACAAAAGAAGGGATTATCACCACATCATAATAAATACCCATGAGACGCTCATGAGGAAGGTTGCCTCTTATGCTTTGGATTCTTTTGTATAATCTGAGAATTTTTGAATAAACGTAAACACATCCACCATTCTCTTTAGCTTTAGTACTCATCATTGTCTTTCTTATCACCTAATTGTATTATAACTTTGCAGCTAAAGCTAGAAAAAATCTTAAATTAAGAACTTTTCTTCAACTTCAAGACCTGACCTGATTGCTCCTAGAAGAAATGCATAGAATGTTGATATAATTATCCATCTTTTATCACTTTTTTTCTTGCCTTTCTACCAATTATGCTTTCAATTGCTCAAAGACTATATACTAACCTAAATTGTTGGGCTAATTGCAAGAAGAAAGGAAAATTTGCATCCATTGAACAATTCCTTTGACAAGTTAAAGGTAGCCCAAAGTAATTTACCACTAAGAGGCTAAAATGTACAAAAAACTTATATAATGAATTACAAAATTTTCTTGTTCTTGTTTTGTGGAGATATAAATGTTTTAAGTAACTATATTTGTAAAAATAAATGACAAAAGTGCTTGTAAGTACATATTCTCCTACACCATTATAGATTTTTTAGTTTAACTAGTTCTAAATATTCCTATAAAAATTCCTAGAAATAAAATATTTTTAAAAATTAAGAGTTATTGGATTCAGAAAAAATTAATGTCCTTGAAATGTAAACCTTCATTCAAATTGCACTAAAATAATATACTATAAATAATGTTATGAGCTAACATTTATACTTAGAATAGGCTAAAACCTCTTAAATTAGTAATTAAATTTTTTAGAGCTATTATTTTATATAATTTCTAAATTTAAATTTTTATTCATAACTAATAATGTTTTTTAAACATAATAATAATAATTTATTATAATAAATTTTTATATAAATCTCTTTAATAAAATATTTTTCAAATATAAATTAATATAAATATTTTTATTTAAGTTTTAGCTTATTAAGTAATTTGTTGAGTTTTATCATATTTTTCTAAAATTTTAATACACATTTTTTATATTTATTTTATAGAAAACTTAAGTGCCTCACTATAAGTTTTTTTTATTTAGTTATAACTATTAATCACTATTTACATCAATTAAAATATAGTTTCTAACAAAACTCCTTTTCCAATAAATTAACAAATTTTATTTTAAAATGTTTATTTAAATATTTAATTTTTCTTGAGCATAATAAAATTTATTCAATATTAACCAAAGGATAAAAGTTTTATAAGAATATAATAGTTATTTATTTAATTAAAATATAAAACTAAAAATTAATAAATTTAACATTATCATAAAATAATTTACTTCCATAAAATGCATTATCTATTCTTGCACCACAAAAACATTTATTAAATTTGTAAACAAAAACTTTAGAGTAGTGGTTTTGAACTATGAATGGTACATATAAAAAGTATTTTATTAACTGAATAATTTACTTGTCTACTTGAAAGTCCATTTTTATATATTATTTTTAATAATTATTATTTTAAATTGTACTATAAATTATATAATTAATTTAAGATTTATCTCTTTCAGTCTCTAACTTATCTCATTTTATTAAGTTTATAAAATATCACTAATATAAAAACTTTCTAAACTAAATTTTTATATTTTTTTTGTGAAAGTTCAATCTAACACAATTAACAAAAAAAAAATTAACGTAAAAGTCTTATCAGGAAAACTCAGTTTATAACAAAAAGAAATTTACATTACATTAAGTGTGATATAGTTGTTATAAAAAAAAACTATGTTTTCTTTCCAGACTTAAGATTTGATTACTTAGTTTCTTTAAATAGCTTCACTTTATTTGATTTGAACAAGTTTGGCTCAAAACTTTGTTACTATAAACCAAGTGTACTATCACTACTTAATTATATAAAAAAAACTATATATATTTTTTCTTGTTGCTACTTTGTTGTATGCTTTGGAAAATTTCTAATTATATGTCTTGCTAGAGGAGGTTAAACTTCTTCACAATACTGATATCCCTTCCTTTTTGCCACGATGGTGAAAGACTGTGAACTTACCATCAAACTTCTACACCATGGCTTGAGAAGCAAAAACGCTTGTAGCTACTTTCCTCTTTATCACTTGATCTTCATCAAGCTAAGAGATGCACTCAACCAAGTAGAAACCACTGACCAACAAACACCAAAATTTTGTGTTGAGTATGTCATGAACATGCCAGACCCCGCCCCAGGAAAAGTTCCCATCTTGGAAACAAAAATAAAGAAAAAACTTTCTCACCTCATAAAGATGGCCTGAGAACAGGCCAAAGCTGATCCATCTGTAGAGAAGTAGTGTTCCAGTCTATGGCACAGGAATAAGGTGAAAGGCTGCGCCACAAAGGCAGCACATTAGATTCACGCTAGAGGAAATATTACCTGGTAATTTGCACAAAATTGCAAAAACTGCCCCAAGGGCAGGAAAGCAATAAGGATGCAAGAACATATGAGTGTCCTTGGGGGATTTATAGAAACTCGAGAATCATTTACCTAAACCACCACCTTTTATAGTCAATTGTGTGGTATTTGTCAAAGCTATGGCAGCAATTTTGGATATCCCTTGCAATCACAATGTTTTGAAAAGGAGATGACATGCATTAGCATTTCCATCATAAATATTGCCACAATACTAATGAAATGACAATGATTTCAACTTAGAACTGTTGATGTTATTTGTAAACCAAGTTGCCGCCTACGCAAAAGCTGCATTGAACAGGTATTATAAGTTTTCTCAATGCGCCTCACAGAAGTCCGGCCCATCTACTTTCAAGAATCCCTCTCCGAGATCAATGCCCTGGTTGAGTGCAAGGGACCTCAGCATGAGGGAAGTCACAGCCTGAAGACCATCCTGAAGACTCTTGTAAAAATTTCATCAAAAGAGGAGTGGATTACCTGGAGAGGGTGAGAGACCACGGCAGATATAGCCACAGTTTGCGCAGTGGTTGTTATTCTGATACCCAAATGCTGCATTCAAAACACTTAAAAAGCATTTTATGTTCTACTATCCATGTTTTGAATCCACTACCATTGAACCAAATAAAAAGCGCAAATATGTATAAAAAGTGAAAAAATATAGAAACCGGAAGCAAACCCATTCGTTAGACAGTATGACAAATTGAATACGAATTGCTCAGATATAATAGAATAACTTTAGAAGAGACCAGTTCCAGGAGATATGTTCAACGAAAATACCAAACTGTTTATGTTTGTCACCTGACATCATCCAGAATAAAATTGACACACAAAGTTTGAGAATGAAACGTTCTTTCTTAAGCCAGAGACGCGTTTGACTTCTCCAAAGTCGCCCATCTTTTCTGAAGCAAATTTGCCTCTTTCAGGGATATTCCAACAAAATACGAAATTCCAAAGAAAAAATATGTTTCTTTCTATTTGCCGGCCTGAAAGTACAGTCTAGAGGGCCGCAACAAGAGAAAAAAT